CCCGGGGCGGGCTGGTCCCCGCCGTGCTGCATCGCGCTGCGCTGTGCTGCACGGCACTGCGTGCACCGTGCGGCATGGCACCGGCTGCGCTGTGATGCACCCTGCTGCATCGCACCCCGTTGCATCACTCCCCACTGCATTATGTCCCACTGCATCACTCCCCGCTGCATCACGCCACGCTCTCTCTTTCAGCGGCGCCGTGTCCGGAGCCTGCATGAATCCAGCCAGAGCCTTTGGGCCGGCGCTCGTGGCCAATCACTGGGACTATCACTGGGTTTACTGGGTCGGACCCGTGCTGGGCAGCCTCCTTCGCCACGCTCTCTCTTTCAGCGGCGCCGTGTCCGGAGCCTGCATGAATCCAGCCAGAGCCTTTGGGCCGGCGCTCGTGGCCAATCACTGGGACTATCACTGGGTTTACTGGGTCGGACCCGTGCTGGGCAGCCTCCTTGTCAGCGCCCTGGTCAGGTAGGTGCCGTCACTGCTGCTTCCCTGGGCTCAACCTCTCCGGCTGCTCCTGCTCCACGGGAAATGGGGGCAGTTACTGGTTTTCCGGAGAGCTGGTGAAGGAGCAGGAGGTGGCAGCAGTGCGAGGCTGCCTTGAATGCAGCGCGCTTCCCAGCTCGCTCCGCTCCTGCAGCGCAAAGCTGGGACGGGCTGCAGCGGGGCGGCCATGCGCTCAGTGCACACTCTGTGTGCTCCGTACACGTCCAGTGCATGCTCGGTGTGCTCAGTGCATGTTCAGAGCATGTTTGATGCATGTTTGGTGCATGCTTGGTGTGCTCAGTGCACGTTCAGGGCATGCTTGATGCATGCTCGATGTGCGCTTGGTGCATGCTCAGTGCACACCCCGTGCATGTTCAGGACATGCTCGGTGCACACTCGGTGCATGTTCAGAGCATGCTTGGTGCATGCTTGGTGTGCACTCAGTGCATGTTCAGGACATGCTCAGTGCGCGCTCGGCGCGTGCTCGGTGCACACTCAGTGCATGTTCAGGACATGCTCGGTGCACACCTGGTGCATGTTTAGGGCATGCTTGGTGCACACTCGGTGCATGCTTGGTGCACACTGAGTGCATGTTCAGGACCTGCTCCGTGCACACTTGGTGCATGTTTAGGGCATGCTTGGTGCATGTTTGGTGAGCACTCAGTGCATGTTCAGGACATGCTCGGTGCATGTTCAGGACCTGCTCCATGCACACTTGGTGCACACTCAGTGCGCTCCTGCAAGAGCTACCGCACCGATCCCACCTCCTCTGCTCCCTCCCCAAAGGCTCCTGCTGGGTGACCAGAAAACCCGCCTGCTGCTGCGGTGAGCAGGGCCCTGCCGCCTGCTCCTGCCCCGCTCCCCCCGGGAGCCGCCCCG